AGATAAAACAAGATAAAGAAACATTGATATGAATAATGATGGGAGTTGTGGAACTGGGCACTGGCACAGAGAGGTGGTGGTGTCCCATCCCTGGAGACAGCCAAGGTCAGGGTGGATGGGCTCTGAGCACCAGATGGAGCTGTGGGTGTCCCTGTTCAGTGCTAAGATTATTCTATGACTCTGTGAAAATGCATTTCCTCCTCATTTTTCCCCTTCCTGCTTGAAGGATGGACAAAGAATAAAAGATAGAGGAAAAAAAAAAAACTTTAGCCTTCGCAACAAGGATACAAAAATGAAGTGAGAAAGGGAGCTTGCTGGAAAGCATTTCTTTCCTTTGGGCACTGAAGTGTTCTGACATCAAGCCTTCTGTCCTCATTAAGAAGCCCCAAGTCTAGCATTGTGACATCTTTATTCACACGCCCTAAGTCTTCAAAGCCTTCAGGAGATTTCCTTGGTGGATTTAACATAAAAAAATATCAGCAGATGAAACAGACCAAAAGGCAGCCCAGTGCATCCTTGTTTTAATTAGACCTTGGGTGGAGGAAGCAGGGGGGGGGTGAGGAAGGAACAGAACTATTGCAAAGAACATTAAGGTGTGAATGCAAACACATGTATGTAATCCTGATCAACAGGACTCAGCTTTTCTTCTTTCATAAGCTTTTGGTGTAGCAGAAAGACCCCAAGTCTCAAGCAACAGCAATTTTTTTTTCCAGTCTCAAAACAGATCCACATTCACCTCTGGAATAAGAAATACTGCAGGTGAAATGCATATTTCAGTTGCCTAAACAAAAAGCTTGAAGCGTAACTAAAAAGCAGCAAAAATAAATAAATTAAAAAAAAAAAAAAGTAGATGCAACAGAGAAAAGCTGAGCATTCACCAGCAGAATCCAGGAAGAACCACTGCAGTTTGCTGCTCATTTTTCCTTTTTTTTTTTTTTTTTGTTAAAATTTTCGTGTGAGTTTCCAAGCCATTTGTTTGACTTCTGAGTCACTTCTGCTGCTTGAAGTGTACAGTGTGACCCACTTGGATATGCAGGTGATGCAGCATATTGGATGGTCCCAGTGGGGTGACAGCAGTTCTTCCTGCTCTGAATCTGCTTGTAAATTAAGTGAATAACTTTTCTCTTTATTATTTTTGGCAAATATTCACTACACTTTTTTTTTTTTTTAATTGCCTTTTCTGTTTACCACCCCTTACACCAAAACACATTCACTTGAATGCTTGTGAGAAGCAAAACCACAAAGAACTGCAGTGAAATTAATTTGCAACAGTTTCAAATGAATATTTATGAGCCTTCTCCTCAGCTTCTAGCCAGGCCGAGGACAAAGTTAGCTTCTTCTTGCAGAGAGCAAATATCAAATAATAATTAAAAATTCAATTAAAGAAAACAGAACTTACACTCTATTCCTTTTAGGTGCTCTTGGGCCATCTCTGGTGATTTCCAAGGGAACTCCAAGCTGCTATCAGGTTTCCAACTCTTAAAGCTCAAGTTTTATAGGACAACATTAGCCAATTAAAAGCAACATTGCTTCCAGCCCCCAGGAACAGGTGCACTGCTGGGGTTCCACAAACAAGAACCACAGAATCATAAAGGTTAGGAAAGATCACCTGGACCATCACATCCAATCCCAGCCCACCCCCACCATGCCCATAGCTACATCCCTCAGTGCTACACCTCCACAGTTCTTGAACACCTCCAGGGATGGCGACTCCAGCACCACTGTCTGGGCAGCAGTGCCAATGCATTACCACTCTGAGAAGTTTTCCCTAATATCCAACCTGAGTTCAACATCTCCATAGAGGGCACACAGTTTCAGCATACAAGCAACATAACCGTCATCTGTAAAATCTAAGAAACATATTTAAATTGTCAACAGCAACAACAAAACAAAAAAAGAAATAAAAGCATTCCCCATTCCTGCCCATGTCAAGACATACTAATCTAGTCTTAATTAGAGCATTATTAACTAAACCTTACACCTGGCCCTATTCATTTACAGCTATTCCTGTTTACAATTGCACTGATTACTAACTACAGCAACGGACTGGGTTTTTCTTTCCAGCATCCAACACCCTCCTCCAATTTTCACTTTGCAACAAGCTCGCATTGGGGTAGGAGAAAAAGAAAGAGATCTATGCAGAAGCAAGAGGAGTGCTAGGAATACCAGCAGCACAGATGAGCTACCGCCCTCACAGACGCAGATCCACCCAGGGACAGGGCAATAAATCCCCCAGCAGGCTCAAATTCCACTTAATTACAGAACCAGCTGATACCTAATAGAAATGAAGTGGATCCACATGCCTGCTCTCAATTTGTAGCCTGTGGTTGTGAGCCAGTCAGAAAAGTGGGGTATTGATTTGATTATCTTGTTTGTCCACCTAGACTTGCTAGTTGCATCTGCTTTTCCCAGTTCAAATGAAGTGTTTTCCACTGATTAATTTTAATTTGTTTTCTCTTCAAGTTCAAGATTCGTTTTTTTATTGACAAGCAAGCATCCATGTTTGTAAGCAGCTACAATTAAGCAGTGCCCCTGCGCTACTAAAAGCTAACACTCTCCCTATTTTGCTGGAAGTACTTCATGCATCAACTGAAACCTCCTCTTTTGCCTACATAGCTTCTAGAAAATACCAACCTGCATCACATAATTACTAGTCTCCTCATGGATACATGCAGCCTACAAGCTAGGAAGAGCCTGACCTCCCTCCAGCCACACGCTTCCAGATCCATCTCCCCACCACTCCACACCCTCTGCCATCTCAAGGCAGTGCTGTACCCATTGAGCTGCTTTTATAAGAAGGCAAGGAGCACCAGCTTTCCCAGCACCTTGCACCTCGAGCTGCTGGTTCCTGTAGGCAGAAGCTGCCATGTTCTATTACACACACATGCAGCTGTAGTGAAAGACAGCAGGAAGGGGTTAAAGGAAAAAAAGGCTCTTCTGAGAGTGCTGGAGATTTTACTCCGTTTTGAAAGCCAGACCTTGGGTGTATTTCAATTAGTGCCACAAATGCATTCATTTCAGCCTAGTTCATTAGCAAGTTGTGCTCCACTCAGTCATTAAGAGCAGAGAAATATGAGTAATAAAATGCCAGGCTATCTGTATTTTGCTTAATGCTCCTCAAACACATCAACAAGCCATAAATGCCAACAGGGCAAGAAAGTGCATAGTAGGAAGGGATTTATGCACTCACAAAACGCTCAGCTTCAAATTGCACCTCACCAGAGAAACACAGGGCTGCTTCTCCTGCTGCTGGTGCCAGTGCCACAGGCTTCCTCTGCAAAATGGAGGTAGGGAGCATCTGCAGAAACACAACAAGAGATGGCTTCCATCATGGACTCTCTGGCTGATAAAAGCTTGAGGCAGAGGCAGAATGGAGAGTCTGCCTCCGGCCCCGTGACATTCCTGTTCCTGGTTGTTTTTGGGTGCAGCACAGGCAGAATACCTGTAACTTCAAAGAGATGCCACTTATAGTGTGACCTACAGCTCTTTGGGACCAACAGCAAAACAGGTGGTGTCACCAGTGAATAACCAGTGCTCCCCCCATTATCTGGTTTGCAGATATCTGCAGACATGCACATATCCTACCATCTGCTGCCCAGTGCCACTCCTGCATCCAGGCTCCTTAGACAGCAGAATAGAAAACAGAATAATTAAGGTTGGAAAAGTCCTCCAGATCACCAAGTCCAATTGTCTACCTGTAACAGCATCAGCACAACGAGAAGGTGATACAAAAAGAAGAATGCTCACCTCTCTCTGAAGATCCAGGCTCACATTAAAACTCCCCAGAAGAGAGGTCTCCAACAAAAGATCCTTTCTCAGTGGCTGCCAGCCCTTAAATGAGGTCTAGGAGGAGTAGAGCCAGGCTCCACCCTTTCTGGTATCACAGGTGAATTACCTTCACCTGTGCTCCTAGGGCTGACTGGGTCTTTCCTCCAGGTGCTCAATCAGTGGTTCAGGCCCTGGCTTGGCAGTTCTCATACACTATCCATCTCCACCATGCTCATAACCATATTCCTTAGTGTCACATCTCCGCAGTTCTTGAACACCTCCAGGGATGGTGACTCCTCCACTCCTTGCCAGTGCCTTTTTGCTTTCAGAGAAGAAATTTTTTTCTTATATCCAACCTGATCCTCCCCTGGCACAACAGCAGCAGCAGACACCACTGTGTTCCTGGCTGAAGGCACTGTGCTGCCCAAAACTTTTCAGAACCGTGCAAGTGATGAATTAGTTGCTTGCTGGAAGGGAACAGAGCCAAAAATAGCTCTCAGCTGGCCATGGATATCATCAGCTCCCATCACAGTCAGGCTGGCCAGGTTTATCTCAGGATTGTCGCTTTACCTGGGATTTTTAAATTGCCTCCAAACAGATACATAAGCACATACAAGGTGCTCATCTCAGCTAGATGCCTTGTTGGAGGGATGGAGCATCTACTGCTGGCTGCAGTGCTGCCAGGTCTCAGATGATGTCTCATGGAATGGAGCCCCAGCCTTGGTCTGACCCCCACAGCAAAAGGCTGATTTTGGTGGTGGGGGAAGATGAGCCAGCAAAAGGGAAAGGTAGAAGATGAGGTTGAACAGCAGGGTGCATGAAAAGACAGAAAGATTAATGGCAGGGACACAATCAAAAACAAAAGTTAAAATGGAAATGTTAATCATTTAAAAGAGGGTCTCAGTGGAATTACTTGCTTTATGGCTCAGAATAAAAAATAGGAGCGGAAAAGAAGGAGGAGAAGTCCCAGGAAGAATAATTTAGTGCTTTGTGTAATGAGCTGCCTTTCTTTTCGGTGGTTCAGTCTGGTGTCTTATCACTTACCCCGTGATTGACTGAGTCTTCTTTTTGCCTGCTCCTGCTAAATGGTGATTTGCCATCTGGTAGTCATAATTTCTTTTCTTTCTTTCCTTCTTTCTTTCTTTCTTTTTTTTTTTTCCCTACATTCTTTTGTAATTAGAAAATAAATTAATAATTTTTTTTTTTTTTTACTTTTTTTTATTACTGAAAAGGAAACATGTCTAGCATATTACTTACAGATGAAGGCTGGTGTGCACAAGACAGCCAGGTAGATGGAAGGGACTTGACTTCTGCTCATTTGGACAGACCCTAGTCCATGTGCCACAAGATCCTTGGCTTCAGCAATGAGAAGGTGGGTGCTGGGGAAAGATCTGGGTCAGGCACACAGCAGACAGTGAGTTTATTGAGATGTGTCAGTCCGTAGCTGAACAATGGCAAAGATGAAGGGTTGGTGGAGCATGATAGGAATGTGTGTCTGTGCATGTAGGATATTGGATGGAAACAAGTAGTCTGTGTATAAAGGCTATGAAGGCTACCGGCTTGCACTGAGCTTGGGATGGTGTACTGTGTTCAGTTTTGGGCCCCTCACTACAAGGAAGAAATTGTGGCCTTAGAGCATATCCAGAGAAGAGCAACAGAGCTGTGAAGGATATGGAGCACAAATCTTATGGGGAGTGGCTGAGAGAACTGGAATGATTCTGTCTGGAGAAGAGGAGGCTCAGGGGAGACCTTATCGCTCTCTACAGCTCCCTGTAAGGAGGTGGTGATGAGGTGGGAGATTGGCCTCTTCTCCAAAGTGACAGTGATAGGATGAGAGGTAATGTCCTCAAGTTATGCCAGGGGAGGTTCAGGTTGGATATGAGGAAAAAACTAATCCTCAGAAATAGTGATGATACATTAGAACAGGCTGCCCAGGGAGGTCGTATAGTCACCATCCTTGAAGGTGTTTAAGAACCGTGGAGATGCTGAGGGCCGTTGTTGGTGGGCATAGTGGGGATGGGTTGATGGCTTCCAAATTTTTTGATTCTATGATTCTGTGTTTGTTGTCTGGCCCTCCAGGAGGTTGATGTCCCCATGCTGCTCACCCGCGAGGAACATTCAGCTCCACAGAGGACCAGTATTGGACTCCAGCTCTGCTATATTTCTATCTCTACCAGCTATGGAGGGAGACTTGAACTTGCTGGATACTGAGTAGCCTACTCAAAACATGCCAAGGCTGATCTTGCTAATGCCCAATTGCAGCCCCACCTCTCTTCTGCTGGTCGCTGGCCCCATCTCTGCAGCCTGTGTACTTGCCTGGGCTGCCATGCTCTCATTATACCTTTGTACAGCGTCAGTCCTTTCCACTCTCATTTCAGCTGCCTCGTCAAGGTGCTCCAATAATTCAAGTGATAAATAATAACAATAATAATGCAGAAGTCGTTTGAATTGAGCTTGATTGCTCCGTGGCTGAATTTGGTCTTGATTGACTGAAAGCAGCGCATGCCCCTCGCTTGTTATCTTGAGAGCCTCATTTTCTCAGCGCGTTGTTGCTTCTCATAGCCTCAAACTGATCTGGCCTCGAGGCTGCTGCCAAAATGCAAACCTGTTGTTCCCAGAAAGACCCCACTCTGCAGCATGATGTGAATTTACACATGTAATGGAGGTAGAAAATGACATAAAATATCCCACTTCAGTATGGTGCCAAAAGAGCTGTGTGTTCCCCTGTTTTCTGGGCAGACTTACTGCTTTTGAGAGGGAAGATGCTAGGTGGAGGCCTTGGGAAAGGATTGATTGTTGCTGGTTAAACTGATTGCACGATACATTTCCAAATATTTGAAATGGGCGCTGGCTATAACACTTGTGTGATGGGTTATATTGCAAAGACAGACAAGCAGCCTCTAAATGAGCAAAAGATCTAGTGAATACCCTTCGAGCTGCTGGACATCAGCCTCTCCCCAGCTCTGCTCCTGTGCACTTGTGAGTGTTCCTACTGTTGGTCCATGCTGTGCTTCCAAGGGAGGTGCCTATCTCAGCCATGAGTGGGGGCATTTGGTGGCACTTTACAATCATAGAATCATTAAGGTTGGAAAGGTTCACTAAACTGATCCGGTCCAGCCATCCACCCATCACCACGATGGACACCAAAGCTTCTTTTGAGCTCAAGGAAGGAAAGGAGCAAATGATCTGTGAGAGGCAGAGGCTATGTTTCTCCTGGCTTAATGTGGATGAATGAAGAAAAAGGAGGGAAAGAAAACAACTCATTTTCACTCCTTCTCTAAGCAGCAGCCACAGTAGTGCTATAGCCAGGAGCATCTGAGAGAGACAGAAGGAATTCGAGTAACAAGGAAATGCTGCTGTACAGATCTAATTATAGCAATCGCACCTGTTAGAGAAAACAATAAGCAGCAAAATGAATAAACCTTCCTGGGACTCATTTTGTCAATGAAGCGTGACCACGTGGAAACTCCACAGAGAAAATCTACAAGGAAGGCTTCATTGTACTCAGACCTTCTTTTCAGGCTCCCGTCCTATAATCAGCTAAGTAACCAAAATAAATGGTGTGTTTAGCCCTGGTTGTACGTGGCTGTATGAAAATGCAAATGGTCTGTTAACAGGATGTCTTCTCAGTTTTGGTATTATCTCCCTGCTAGGCATATATATGTAGCTGCAAACTTCTGCTATTTAGGAGAGAGCTGTGCACGAGCCTTCAAAACCAAGCAAAACATGTCATTTATCCTAGGGATGGATTGAAGCAGGGGTAGCCTGTAATTCTCTCCAAAGGGAGAATCCTCCTCATGTCTTGAATCTGCCACCAAATCATTCTATACCATGCAACATGGGGAATAAGTGCTCCTGCTCCACTGCCTTTACACCAGCCATGGTCCTGTAGACCTCAAGACATCCCGCCTCTGGGATGGGCGTTCTGATCCATGGGATTCCACCTCATCTATCCTTCTACTATAGCTATTTCCTGCTGCTGGCTGTCTTTGCTTCTGCTCCCCTGTACCTTTCTGAGCTTCCAATTATAGTTCTTCTGCACCGCAGAAGCACATCTAACACCAGGCTTTGCATGCTTCTGTGGTTAGAGCAGACAAAGAGGATTAGCCTTGTTAAAGAGTTAATGCTGTGGGTTTTTTTTTTTTTTCTTCTCTTTTTTTCTCATATGCAGCTCCCTTCATCCAAAGATCTTAGAGCAGGGGAAATATCATTAGCAGTGTCTTGTGGATGGGAAAATTGAAGCATGAGGAGATGAAATGAATTTGCTTATTGGATGATTATTCCTTTACTGGATTTGCCTCACATCTCATAGCCCACGTCCTGGGCCAAAGCCCTTTTATACAACGTACTGCCCAGATAGAGGCAGAGCCAAAGAAACAAGGAACCCTATGATACTTAATCTCGTTTTGTATTTTCTTTTTCCAAGGCCACCAGCATGTACAAAAGCACAAAGAAACATCCCAAGCTTTGCAACAAGTCTGACTGACAGCCCTAGAGGCTGCAGTCCCTGGGGCACTCACTGAATGCACTGAACAATGACGGCTCCAAATATTGACCCAACAGCATCTTGGTCGTGACTTGGGAAGGGAAAGATGAATGCACTGTTTGATGACTGTCACCATTGAAAATCATGCTGTGTTGGTGACAGCTGGAACAAGAGAGTTCGTAAGAGTCACTTGGTGATTCAAGCTTTGAGTTCCAGCTCCCAGGAGCTGCCATTAAATCACTGCTTGAGATAATGGTTTTCCACCACTTCCCAACCAAGTCTGACCTAGTAAGTAAAGGGCTCCGTAACTAATTAGTAATAACTGAAACCAAATCTAAAGGAAACTGGACAAATAATTCATAATGAATAATTTATTGGATGAATTTTGCCTCTTTTAATGTTTGTGAATTTTTTATGCTTGCAGTGTTGATTTCTCCAGCTAATTGGTTGTTTGAAATTCTTTGCTGATGCAAATACTCCTTGGTCTGCTCTTTTCTTCAGCAGAACTTCATTAATAGTATTGCCAATTCAAAGTGGGCTGACTAGTTTTAATTGGTCACAGAGGCCACATGGCATAAATAGATTACGTGGGATAAATATAGAGTGTTTTTTTTTTAAATTCAGTATTTGAAAGTATCTTTTCAAAATGTTCTTTACATTCAAATAGGATGTTTCTGTAAGCATTATTTCTAGCAAATATTCCTATTGGTTATTCCTGCAAAGGAAACTCAGATTCCTGAAGTTGGTCAAGAGATATTGAAATAGAAAGAATGGGCAAAAGATGTTCAAATGGAAATGCAACAGGCACCCAAGTCACAGAGGCAAAAGCCCCCTCCTCACCATTTATCTGTCACACTTTGGGTAATCAAGGATATCAAACAACTTGTTTTTGTGGGACAATGTATGTATTTGTGTATAAAAAATGTGTAACTCTTTCTCTGTTCTTGCTAGCACTGCATCAGAACCTGTGGTTTTGGAAAACACAAGGTCTGGCTTGTGCTCCAGCCCATATATTATTGCTTTATGGCCCAAGCATTTCAAAAAACTCTCCTGGAGAAGAGATGAACTCAAGGCCTCTTCCAGTAGCAAGGACATGAAACTTTACACTCCCTATATCTCAGCATCTGTAACATACTGTGAGCAGCAAGAAGGTCCAGACATGGAGGATGGAAAGTGAAAACAAGCCACCCAACCTGATAATGAAAAGCAGGCACATGGCCTTGGTGTGGAGCATCTCAGATAAGTAGTTTAATTGCCAAGCTCTGATGCTGGAGGGAGGGAAATCTAAGCTAAATTAAAAGATTAAAAAGATATTTTTTCATCAAGTGGCAAAATGGAAGATGTGGACGAGTCTGCTCAGGAGAAAATGAGCAGAAAGGAACTGTGAATGTTGTGAAAATATATCCATTAGACCTGCCTTATCGAAACGTGCTTTTGCCAAGCATCCAGCCCTGCATCGCCATGGCAACATGGCCTCATCAACAGAGAAGAAAGTGTTTTTGTCAGGATGGGCCCAAACACGTAAAAGCCATTTCGATTTGGGGGCAACACGATCTTCTTCAATCAATACAGCACACATAATAATGACTCCTGCCACTTTTTTCATAAATCTCCACTTTCTGCTTTCATTTCCTGTGGTTTGACATCACCGTGAACTGGAACCAGGTTTAAATTTCCTACAATTTTCAGCCCCCTCTGCCCTCATCTACAACACACCATGCCTCACGCAGCAGCTTTCTCCTTTGCACGGCACTCGATGTGCCATCTGCTTACAGGTGGAATTAGCCTGGCCTGAACTGTGAGATAGGCTTTTGGGAATCCCCAATGGCACCACTACAGATGTGAAGGCTGAAATTGTTGTCATGGCTGAGATGTGGGCTGGCCAAACATGGGATGGTGTATCCTTCTCTCAAAGAGTTAACTGTCCAAAACAACCCCAAAATCTTAACTCCCAAAGAAACTGCAGTGTCTTTTTTAGGACATGGGTGTTCTCCTTTTTTTTCCTGCATTTCCACTTAGAGAACTCATGTTTCTTGACTGTCAGTTGGCAACGATGCTTTGATCTTTCCAAAAAAACAGCTCAGCAGTTCCACTTCAGAAACCACCACGTGGCCAAAAGGATTTCTGTGTGCATGTGAGAGCTGCGCCTGTCTGTGCTGGGGAGAGATGGGAATATATAGGAGATTTAAATGCCTATCTCTATTTTTCATTTAAATTAGTGGGTATTAGGCATATAATCCAACACATTGCTTTTAAAATCTCAGCAGTAGCCTGCTGAATGCTTTACCGTAAAGAAATGTAAAATATATTTTTTTGTAATAACTGCAATCTAGCTAGATTTAAAGCAATGCCATCTTTGTTGTTCCATGTTCTATTTTGCCATTTGTTGAGAGATTTTGAAAGTATTTAATCTCCAAAGCACCATTGAGAAGTGCGATTCGGTGCACAGAGGCAAAAGAATTCCGCATTTGTGCTTTTCTGTGAATGCAGGCAGAGGAAAGCTACTTCTCCAGACAAACTGCTGCTGCTTTGGAACGTAGATGAGGGTCAGCAATTCGGATCCTGTTTGTTCCCTGGGGGCCTTTGGTTTGAGAATGGGAGAAGATGGCATTTGGACACTGGTGCTTTTGATTCCCAGATGAGTTTTGCAGCCTTTCAAACATACTGTGCATGTTAGTGTTGCACCATTCAACTTTGGTCAGAGCCTGGAGGAAGATAGGGAAGAGGGCTTAAATGATACTAATGCTAATAAATTAATGACTTGAATTTTGAAAGAGGCTTTTGTTGAGAAACCACACAGTGTTTGCAAATGAATTTACAAATCCTGGGCTTGAGTCATACCCAACAAGACAGAATACTTCTCTACAAGGGGCTTGTCATCATTGTAACTATACACAATCTCTATCAGTGTATAACACAGTGAGACCTTGAATGAACTATAGTTGCTTCATCTAGCTGGCACAGAG